TACTAGCACTGACACAAGAGAAAACCCCAGACACACAGGTCTGTTCTCTGAGGGTCTCCAGTCTAGGGGATACACAACACCTGAAAAAGGGAGTATTGAGTATCGAGAGAACAATGCTAAGAATGCAGAGGGACTAGGAAATCTAAATCTGAGCTGGCTTCTATTCAGTCCACAGAACGATGGCGAATGGAATTTCTCTATCATATCTAACTAGTTCAAGGGGAAGCTGCATTAAACTACTGTGGTGCCGCTTCCATCAGCTGTGTACAGGCTGAAATGATACCTACAGGGTTTTAAAGTCACTAGGTTCACTAGGTGACTCTCTGGGCTGCACCCCTTCCTGTGATGTCCGCACCCAAAAATCCCTACTCACATGAAATGCCTAAAGTTGAAAAATAAAGTCAGAATATCGCTCTATCCGTAGGGATAAAAACAGAATAAATGTCTCTGGAGGACAGGAAAGAACATTGATTTATACCTTGTAAAAAATACTCTATATGCTGTGAATATGTAACTGAAGTAAAAAATGTTACATTAGGCAAAAGGTACATTAATAATGATGATTTGTTATGGGTACTTCAAACGTTTTTTTTAAAAAAAAAAGTTAAAGCAAGATGCAATATTTTTTGTTTTTGTTTTGTTTTTGGAGACAGTTTCTGTAGTCCTGGCTAGCCCAGAACTCAAAAATATCCCTACTTCTGCCTCCCTCATACTGGAAATAAAGTTGTGTACTACCATGCTTAGCTAGAAATAAAAATACCAAGAACTTGAAAGGGGGGTATGAGAAGACTGCTAAGACCAGCACCAACACTGACAGGCACCGAGGGTGCTGAGCTTAAAGACAAGTACAAGCCAAATGTGCTGCACGCTGCCACAGCAACTCACTGAGAAACCTGACTTGGTGAGACAATCAGTGGTCAGTTAAGAAATAGGAGATGACATTCTACAATCTACAATCCATATCAACATTCTGTCAAATGCTCATTTTAAAAATAAGGAAGAGAAAAAAGGAAGGTAGGCAAAACCTCTCACCTGTTTTTCCAAAAAGTGCGCAACTCTGGTCCTCTGTTCTTTGGGAATGGTAGGGAGGACTTTATCAGCCATGCTGAAATCTCTCCGCATGACAGCAGTCTGGTATTCCAGGACTGAAACCAGCAGGGAGTAGCTAACAATGTTCAATTCCTTATCCCCAAGATAAAGCCTATTGTCTTTAGGAATATAGCCCAGAAGGTACATTGTCCTGTAACAGATACAGAAATAAAACTGAAGCCCTATTCTATGATTACAATGTTACACACACATACACTCCTCGCTTGCTCAAAATCTTTACATTTGATGGATGTGGCTTTGGTTACCATCAGAAAGTTTACTAACACTAGTGTGAGGAAATCATCCTATCACTGTTCCAAGTCAACACTACCTTTGGTTCACAAAGAACTTTTACATTTAGGCTGCTTAAGAGAAAAGAGCAAAATGATATTTAGTACCTGTCCAAGTGGGCAATAGTGACTATTTCTCCTCCCACGTAATAGTTTAATCTGTTCACAGAACTTGTGTAAATGAAGCAGTCACCCACCCACAGCCCAGTTTTCACAATTTCCTGAATTTCACCAAGAACCTATAGAAAGAAAACAAAGATTATTACTATCGTAGTCAACACCAGACAACTGTGAACAAGCTGGATATGATGAAGGTGGAACATAAGGAATGCAAATTCATTTTGAGAACATTCACCCAGGAATTTCTGTCTTCATTTAAAGACAGTGTTACATGAATATTTATTTATATTGTGAAATCTCATTATTGATCTAAACTGCTCAACACACATGAAACTAGAATGCTAAGTATCCCAGAGTCCTTTAGGACATCTATCCCCACAGTGGGTGGTTTGTTTCTCCCATTTCAGGGCTCATTTGAATTATTCTGGCTCAACTGTCTTAGAACCAAACATTTTCAAGTTTCCTTAGTGAAGGTATCAGAGTATGCCTGCAGAGTTCCTAAAAGTCAGAGCACACATTTATTTCAAACATACTTACTTTCAACTTGTTTGTGCCAAGATTTTAATTTTTATGTTATCAAAACTTTTACTCTCCCAAAACCTAATTTACACAGAAACGTTAAAATCAGTGTAATCTGTTTTAAGAATACAAAATATTAAAAACAAAGCCTAAGTTGAGGTGAGACTTACCTCAAAGGCATCTTCAATGCCATCTTCAGTAACCCCCTCATGTGTTTCCTGTGCAGCCAAGACTTTTTCTGACAGATATTTAAGAATAAAAAATGACTCCTCAGTGGCAATACAGACCAGCTCTCCAGAGTCAGACCAGAATATCTGCAACCCGACAAACAGAAACACAGATGACTGACCTGCCTTCCTGTGTGGCCACTACAAACTGTGCACTCTGCTCACTCCAGGGTCAGTCTCACAGGAAGGGGAGCAACTTGCAGTGTACTACATACATCTGGAAGGCGACAGCACAGGGCTGTTGTACTTAGCCCAGCAATGGAAAGCCAATGGGACACAGGAGTGCTGTCATTCAGGAGAGGTGCTCCGCTCCCAATTCTCTAAACCAGTGATCCTTACTCCTTATTTCTCTCTCTATATATATATGTATGTGCACTTATACGTAAAGAAAAACACCACCACAAGCCCTATTCTCTAGCAGACAGACTCAGGACCGTAGGGAGGCAAGATGCTCCCTATGGCAGTGTCTTAACAGTGAAAGCTGTCAACCAACTGGCATCTCTAAGGTTGTTACTGGAGAAGGGCTCCAGACCATCAGCACATGAAGCATGGAAAAGCTTCTTCACATTAAGAATTCCCTAATTTCTTTTCTTCAACATGTGTATTCACTTTGTTAAGGTCATTTCAAATTTGAATGGCATTTGGAATTTGTATAACATCCTATGTTTTTACAAATAGCCAATATTTACTATCTGATTCCAATGCAGAACTGATATTGTGAGCACTTCTTAGGTAAATGGCGTGGTGTTCAGTGCAATGGGACCAGGATAGCAGTGTGCAAAGGGCCCTTCTTGACATGAGGGACTCAGACATTTCAAAGAGAAACCTCCCAAAAGCAACCAGAGGGGACACTCACATGCTTGGGCTGAATTTCAATTCTGCGGATGAGTTCTGTATTGTCCCAGTCATAGAAGGCTAAGCCATTCACAGACCTGACTCCCAGTAAGAAGCCCCCATAGATACCTTTAAAAGGACACAGAGAGATTACACTCAAATATTCTGAGCCATTACAAAGATTCTCAAAATGAATCATAAATAAATAGCACTCACTTTCAGCTCCAAAATCAGGTTTAAATGACTTTTTTTCCTTAAAGTTCTTAAAAATCTTTACAACACTGTTGCTTTCTCTTATTGCATACCTAAGGAACAGAGGAAATGACATTACTACACACTAAACCATAATTCCATCAAATGTTAGAAATAAATTCAAATACTTCTGATTTAATATTAATCATTCAAAAATATAAAATATATCCCCATTTGAAAATTCACTGACCTGCTTTTGTCCTAGGATATAGCAAAAACTTTATAGTTAGACAAATAATGAATGAGTTTCATGTTATATGTTATGCAAATTACTAAAGTTTACAAATCATTTTAGAAACCAGAAATGACAGCAATATCCATCAAAAGGTGAATGTTTAAATTGTGGTACAGCCATTCAAAAGAATACTACTTTACACACAAAAGAACTACTTATTGATACAGATAAAAACATGGATGATCTCAAAAGCCAGATCCAAGAATGTATGCCTATAATGCTCCATACATACGAAACTCCAAAGACATCTAAAGAACAAATTTTGACCTATACCATAACAAAAAGCAGATCAGTGTTTACCTGGGACTGGGAAGTGAGTTGACTAGCTGGGGATAATCTGACTTTGCTGCTGGTTATGAACTGTATACACTATAGAGAGCTAGGGTGACTTCTGCTTTCCTGAGAGCATTTTATGAATATTCTGAATTCAGACAGAAAGGGTGAAGAATGAACAGTAGGGGATATGCAGAAATTGAGTTTTTAAAAAAAGATCTATTAAAAGTTCTTGTCCAGGTGACATGGCATAGCACCATCTCTCCCAACTACTTTATAAAGGACAGCCAGCCCCTTGGGGGCCATGCCTGTGATGGCTTCCTAAGGACTTGATGCAGGGCCTACTTTGCCTTAAACCCCAAGCATCAAGTCCTGTCACAGGCTCCCTCAGATACAGGTCTTAGATCCCCAGTTGAATGTATTTATTGCATTAGCCTGAGTGAGTCGGCTCAATGGTAACTCAGACAGGAGAAGGGCAGTTTATACTCTCCAAATGCCTCAAGGAAGCTGTTGTGGGGGGGACTATCTTAACATGGAAGAGCACCAACCACACTGGCACCAATACCCTATCTGCAATCAGACATCATGCAACTAAAACTTACTCTGAAGAATCGTGGGCCCATGCAAACTCCTGGGCAGACCCAAAACTCTTGTTTCTCAAAGCCATTGCTGTGTAGATGATATACTCCCCATCGCCACACACCACAACAAACCTAGAAATGACAGAAGTCACAATGACAAGAGGTGTCAGGAAACAGTAATCCACATTTATAATAAAATAACTCGGTAACAAATGCTTTTTTAGTCAATTATTATAATTTAAAATGTTACACATTTCTTTGAATATGCTGCATATAATATTCTAAGCAACGAGTCCAAAAGCAATTATCAATATAGAGTAAATGACAAAAACATTGCTGCAGTGGCCTTCTCTGGTGACAGGAGAGCACGCAGAGCTGGAGATGCAGAGAACTCCAGTCATGCAGTAGTGCTTGCTGAGCACCAAGATGCCCACCACCATGCTCATGGCATTCACACCACAAGGCACTACCTTACAGCAAGTTTACCTGCACATTGATGTACATCACTTACATGAACAAAAAAATCTTATTCAACTGATAAATTAATTAAAATAAAGAGAATCATTAACATTTAATAACAAAAATAGAATGTTACATACCCAAACATCTTTCCCCAGTAGACAAAATACCTCTTTTCAAATTTCATTTAGAAAATAATAATGTCTGTTATTATTAAAGATCAGTTTATTAAAGTATTAAAGGTCAAAGGTAAAATGAACCTTTCAGCAAAAAAAAATGCTTGAAGATATTAATATATATGCCTTAACTTTCATAAGATAATTAAAAATGTAGTCATCATTGATTAGACCTTGATACCACACTTTGGTCATTTATGAATGACAGTGAAGATGGTTTAAGACGTCCAGATATACTATAAAATGATTTATAAGGCTCTAGAGCAGTGGTCCTGAGCCTTCCTAATGCTGTGACCTTTAATACAGTTCCTCACGCTGTGGGGACCCCTAACCTAAAATTATTTTGTTGCTACTTCATAACTGTAATTTTACTACTGTTATGAATCATAATACCTCATATATGATCCCCCAAAGGGGTCAAGGTTCACAGTTGAGAACCACTGCTCTAGAGGTCTGAGTTAAACTTACTGTTGTAGAAACTTCTCTCACGCGGCAGTTATTATTTTATAAATCTTAAAGGAAAACAGA